CCTTTTTTTTTTTTTTTAAATTAATTTTTTTTTATACTTTCAATCTAGTTTGAACGTTCGCAACAATCGTCACGATAAAAAAGAAAGGGATGTTATTATTGCATTATATTTGGATTATATTTATTTTGGTTTTTGGATTTGGCCTATTGTGTATAGTCTGGCCCATTATATCACAGGTGTAATTTACCTATATATTTCTAATTAATAAAAATATCATTAAGGGAAAATATTATATTATCCACAAGAAGAAAGGGTAAAAACAACTGCGGGATGTAACGTTTTTCACCATTCATTGTACATATTACCTTCAGTTTTTAATTTGATATTTATTTATGTGTTGATTTAGACATATGTCATCTTAATATTTAAACTTTATACATAAACCCTCCTTAACTAGACAAATCCCCACCTTTCTAGAGAATAGGGGTGACCATTTTACATGGACACACCAATCCAGAATCAAACCTAGGCGTTTCACACAAAATATGTTATTAGACCCTTGCTCATATGCCAGTATACATATGGTACCATATGATGGGATTTTAAATAATATTAACTATAAAAGGAAGACTATGCCTGTGTCTTTTCTCATTGGTACTTTCACCAACATAAGTACGTAAAAGGTTATTAAAAACACTATATAATGGTTTAAGGACATATGAAAATATAAAGATTATGTACAAATTCTATTAGTCAATGTAACTTATCTTTTGAATTGTCATATCAAAATAAATAATATGGATGTTATCGATGTTAACATATACAATAGTTTTGTTGTACTTAGTCTTGGTATTTATAACATTATGGTTTTGATATGGCTATCATGGTTTAGAAGCAAGTTGCACCATGTTGGAGTTTTGATTTTCCTATTTTATACTTTGAATAAGTTGTTTACTTAGTGGGATCAATATAATATACATGATATTCAAAGATATTCATTGTTCTCACAACATTTTTTAAGACATAATTTGTGGAGGTTTCCTAATTTCGTTCTTTTCCAACAAAACAAACCAAAAAAATATTTTAAAACACAAGTTTTGGATTTACAATAGAAGTAAGAAATTCAAAACTAGTTAAGTTGCTTGACTTCAAAATCCAATTCTAGGCTTCTAGCCTTAATTAACTAATTTTGTAATGTTCTTTTTTTTTAGCATTTTGCTACTTTAAATATAATTTAAAAAAATTATAAGATTACAGTTAGTCTATCTTTATCTCCCTTTTGTATTTTGTAACCTAAACTCACAATTGTCATTCACCACCATCCATTACCGTTTACCACCCTCAATAGCCTTTACCAACCTCAACCACCCCCTTGGCCCCATTTGGCTCCCGTGGTAACCCTCGACAACCATCAACAATTCTTAGGACCTCTCAATAACTCTCGATAACCTTTAGAAGCTTTTGGTAAACTTTAAAGACTCTTAGTAAACCTAATAACCCTTTGGACACCCCCATCAACGATAACACTTTGTACCTCTTAACAACTCTCAAAAGCTCTCAACCATCCTCAACACTATACCCCATCCCTTCAGACTCATCTCCCATCTCTACCCTTTATTAGCGATATATATATATATATATATATATATATATATATATATATATATATATATATATCAAATAATTATATATTTGATTTGATCTTGCTATTTATCTAAATATATGATTGTCACATATTTTGTTCTATTTATAACTGATATCGTCTATGGTATTGAAGCAAAACTTAAAATTTCTCGTAACTTAATATTGTCATTGCCGTTGGATGCCATAATTATTTGCCTTTGGCCTTCGTTCCTTTGTTTCTCGCCACCACTATTACTTCCCATCACTACATATTCTAATGTTGTTTAAGGAGTTTTCATAATCATGCCAATAAAACCGAGTATTGTGTATTTTCAGGTTATTACTTGACATCCTCATCTTTCAAACATCAAACAACGATCTTTAAATCATGTGCTCAAGTTGAGTATCAACATCGCTTAATATACTACTCAAAGTCTACATACCATTTGCACAATACAATGTTGTATATTTTGACAATATCCTTGCGGATTACCTTTTTTGATATCATTTAACATCAAAGCACCTAACATCTTCATATCGATATTCATTTTATATGTGAAAATGTTTGAATATGAACTTTTAAGGTTCTTCATGTTTTTAAAAAATATCAGTATAAAGACTTCCCTACCGTGTGTTTACAATATTTCAATCAAGTTTAAGCATTCAACTACCTCTCACTCAAATTGCAAGGGTACGTTACCGATATAGATTTCAAATATTTATAAATATGTTTTTTTTTGTAGATTTGACTTGATGTATGTTAGTTAGGGCTGTTTACTATTTGGATAAAACAGAATTGTCCAATTGGACAATTTGAATTGAACTATTTGGTTCGGATATTCAGATTTTTAGATTGGATTTCACTAAAACCGAATTATTATTTTGGATTTCGGATTGTTTTTGGTTTATGAAATAAGAACCGAATAGTCCAAAAAAACCGAATAACAGTTTATTATTTATTTATTTTTAATATATCTATAATTATTTATTAATTATATATTTTTTTTTCAAAAAAGTTCAAAAAGTTTTAGATAATAAACAATTTAATATGCATTTTTTCTCAAAAGTTTTTTATCTATTAAATATTAAATTATAATATACCTTCTTACTAGTTGTTTATAAATTTTAAATCACAACTAAATAATTTATTTTTGTTTCTTCATTAAAAATTGGATAATATTATAATCATATGTTGTTTTAAATTGTTCTAACTTTTGAAAACCGAATTATAAAATCCGATCCAACCGAATTGTAATTGGATTGGATCGGATCAGATTTGTATTTATTTTGGACAATTCGGATTCATATTTTGAAAACCGAAATCAATTTGGATTTACTTAATTGGAGCGGATCAAACCGATCCATCCAAACGAACACCCCTAATGTTCGTCACTGAAATTTTGAGAAATTTTATGAGCTTTTAGCTTTTATCGTTAAAGAAAAAAAATTTGTTCGGGAGTATTAGCTTAAAACTTTTATTTTAAACAAAAAAAATCATAATACACTAGCTAAAAAAATCATAATACAAAAGCTACGCCAAGTAACTTTTGATAGCTATTAGGAGCTTTCAATTTTTATATTTTGTGCTTTATGTTATTTTACACCTTTAAAACGTCTACATTTATCCTTTCTGCAAACTTTTACACAAATAAAATTTTTAGTTTCTAGCTTGCAGCTTACCAGCCACTTTGACCAAATTATCATTGATCATGATGTATATATTGGGTTTCTTTACAATGTTTAACCAAAATTTAGTTCAAATATTTAAAAATAGGCAATTGTTACCGATCTCATTGGTCCTATGACTCATTCTAAAATCCAAATGACCATTATGATCAATTTTGGTATTGATTTCAATATTTGAAGAACTGTCGATTTTGGTTATTAGACCAGTTTTGTTAAAATTTGGTTGGTATTCGTCAATTTATACTTCTTATTAGCAAAAAATTCAAAGTATTGCGGTAAAATATATATAATTATCTTAAATCATATTAATGTGGTATATTTTTTTAGTTTGCTACAACTTATTTATCTTTTGGAAATATACAAAAGATGTTTCACCAACAATGTATACATCATTTGATAGCCTCTGTAATAGTAGTGTAGCGATCGAAATATGATATTATATACATAAGATGCAAAATTCAAACATATATGTTTAAAATATTAGTGGTGACCATCCGGAGAATGCAATTTACTTTTTTTTTAATCATTTGACATTATCAATCTATCATGATTGAACACACCTAGCTTAGTTAGTTACAGAAATGAACATCACATGCCAAATCACTTGATTTGATTAAGTTACGTACCCCAACCATCCTTCATTTGTAAAGTGAAAGGACACACATCCCCATCGCCACTACTCTACAACCTTCTTCAATATAATTTGATTACCTTATATTAATATATATGACACAATTAACATATAAAAAGATCAATCATATGAAAAAAGGTGTCCATGAAATTTAGTTTAGTTAGTTGTTTTTTATAACGTTTGCAAGTCATGAGAACAACGAATGAGTCGTAACTCCTTCTTAACTTCAAGTTATTTTTATTTATAATGATCAAATTACAAAATTATCATTGTAAATTCATCAACATTGTTTTACCAAGTACACAGGGTTAAAAAAGTACTTTTACCTATCTCTTAATATGATGTAATTAGAAGTTAATCCAAAATATTCTAGAAAAGGCTTCTTCTTATAAGAAATAATAGACACATCTGCATAAATGTGTAATAACATCCATTATGAACACACACCGGCAACATAATTTTAAAAAAATGGTTGACTAATATGGTCAAACATCTATAAAAATACATAATTAAAAAAAATGGTTGACTAATATGATCATCTAACAAACAACAATTTAATTTAACTGATATATCAATTCAGCATTTTAGTTCCTTTGTGAATTAATTACAAATTACGATAGTAATATATAAGTAAATTACCTTAATATATAAGTAATTTAACTGATCATCATCTAACAATCAACAATTTAATTTAACTGATATATCAATTCAGCAATTTAGTTTCTTTGTGAATTAGTTACAAAATACGATAGTAATATATAAGTAAATTACCTTAACCAAGTATGGTAATTTCATATCGTTAATTTGAATAATTTCAATTAATTGTCTGTATAAGTAATTAAATTAAAGACCAATAGATACTATATAAAATTCATACTGAAAAACTACAATGGGACTTTTTTTTTTTCTAATATTAAGACCACATTTTCGTCCCCAAACCCTTTGAAAATTTTCATTATATTAATCACACAGATGAAATGGAAAAATTAAATAAAATATTAAAAATCAGAATATTTAAGAATTGTTTTTGAAAATTTTCAAAAAAAATGGAGAAAATCAAACCTCACGTGTGTGTTTTACACATCAAATTTAACAACACGATTGTGGAGGCGGGAATCGTCTACGAGTTGTGGCTGGTTGTATCATGCCGATCATCACCGCCACCGCCGCTGCGGTGGTGAGACTGAGATTCAGACCCACTCGCCGTAGGTTCAGATAACCCTGGACCGAATATTGGCCGATAAGGATTTAATCCAGCAAGCATGTTCAATTGCCCTTCACTATAACAACCACTACCACCACCACCACCACCATTGTTACCGCCGATTCCCGCTCCTAGTTGTTGACTAGGCAGAAGCGCGACGGGTGTCGGAAAATTCATAAAATGTAAGCCACTTGAAACCGTTCCTCTATACACAGCAGCACTGTTATTTACGTTCGGAAAAGTCCAGATAGGGTCGCCGTTCATGACTTGGTGTTGGTTAGGATTAGAGACCATCCAAAAGTTCGCCGGAATCGATGGGTGACTAGCCGCCATCGCTCCGGCGCTTGACTGCATCAAATAGTTTCCCATCTGTTGTTGGTGTTGTGACGATAAATCCAGCTCCATCGGAGGCCGTCGTTTCCTTCCCATTCCCTCCTCCATCTCTGATAACTCGACCGTATTATCCCTCATTTCTTGCTTCGCTTGTAACATCTGATTCAGATTCATCGTCGACCCAAAACTCAAAAGATTAGATGAAGAATTCTCCGATGGAGATAACCCAATTCCAGGAAAAAGATTCCTCCTTTGTGGGAGAGTGAAATTCGGCTTGAAATAAGTGGATCGTAGCTGCGACGGAACCGACATACTTGACCCAGAACTCCGGAGTGAGATATTGAGTGAAGTAAAGTTCGCCGGGATAGTACCAGTTCCGGTGGCTGCGATGACGGAAGGTTCAGCCTGTTGCAGGAGCCACTCAATGGTTTCACCGTCAGACTTGTGTCCAAGCTCACGGGTAAGCTGGAAAACCCTTGCGGCACATAAAGCCGGCATACGGATACGGCGGCCGCGGCCATCGACCTTTGTATGCCGATCTTTGGTGGATGTTCTCTTGGGGGGTTGTTTCTTTGAAGGCTCGGCGGAGGAAGTGGTGGCGGTGGTTATAATTTGCATATTAGAGGTGTTGGATCTAAGCCCAGGGTTTAGATTAGTGTCGGCGGAGATGGCAAGAGAAGGGTATGCAGCAGTGCCGGAGGAGGAGCAGCTGGCAGCTTCATCGTCTTTCTTTTCAAGTAGTTTAAAAGGGAAGTTTGGGCGATGGTGGAAGTGATCATCACCACCATCCATGATCGCATGAACTTACAATACACGCACTAAAACCCACAAGAAACACACACACACACACTGTGTGTCTTCACTTATGTGAACCGAAATACTGAATTAGGGTTTTGTGGGTATTAAATTCTTTCTCTTTCAAAAACATGAACAGTCTCTCTCTTGAAATGTTGAATATTGAAATTGTTTCGCATTTGATTTTTGTAGAGATACGTGGGAAGATAAGGAAGGAGGGCAAGCTTTAAGCAACAAAGACAATGAGTGGGAATTATATGGGTGAGCTTTAAAAAGCAAAAACAAATACAAATTGAAATGGAAACGAAAAGAGTATCTATTTGGTGTATAAAGTATCAGTCAACCTACAATTTTAGTCCTTCGACTTGAAAACGATTGCTGTTATCATAGAAACACACAAATGGTTAATGGCATACGTACGTACTTAGTTATGACTTATGAGAACTTCTAGAACGGTACTATTAAAATGTTTGCATACATATGTCCATTATTGGTAACATATCTATATATAGGTCTTGTTTTTACAACTACGTGTAACTTCAAAATTAAAGTTTGTGGGATTAAGCGTAGATTTTTTTTAAAAGACTTAATCCACAAATAATAATCACTAAGCCACACTTTGATAGTGGTATCTTTTTCTTTGTCAAGCTAAAAATTGCATTAAGCCATTAGCAAGTTGCTAGAGCAGGGAAAACGTTATAGAGGTTGTAAAGCTTCACCTTGGTGGTGGTATCTATAAGGATACAACATAACATGCACATTTTGCAAGCCTAATCACACAATAACCATATTTTAATATTATTAAAAAAATAACATAACTATTTAATTTCGTTCAAAAAATTAAGAGTTTTGAACTCAATTATTACTTTCGAACACAATAGTTCTGGTTCCCTCTGCTTAAAGGTATGTGATTTTAAAAAACTAACACTACTTTGAAAATGTTTTTGGAATTTTTTTTTGTAAATAACAAGTTCAAAACTTGTAAATGTTTATTGATTTTGTTTTTGTTTGAGCTATAAACTATTCTCCTATCTATCCAATTTTTGGTGGTACAATTTTTTTCATGATCGGAAATCATGAACAATGTTCAAAATCGTGAGCTTGTTCGAAAATCATTGGCAATAACATGTTTGAGAATCAGGAAAATATTCGCAAAATGAATAACATGTTCGAAAATAAAGATGTATCGTTTTTACTAATCTTCAATACAAGTTTATGTTTGAGTAATCATCAAACCAAGAGAATAAAAGACGGCCACTTAGCTATACAAGTCTATTACAAGATAACATTTAGTTGAAGATAAAGACGAGATGTATGCCAGCATCCTTCACTACTAGAAAAATGGCTTTTCTTGACAGACATTGTGTGTCATAAATACCTATACATGACTGAAAAATGTATGTCATTGAAATATTAAAGTATAAAGAGGAAAATAATATCTCAACATTATCTGATGTTTTTCATTAATTAACATGTGCATTATACATAGTCAAATCATTGTTATTAGTCTTCCACAATTATCTCAATAGTTAGCTGTAATCTTATGTATAAGTACCTGTATAGACCTCGTTGTATACATCAAAAAGTGAAAATACAAAATCTATTCATATTCTTCTCTGTTTCTCTAAATGGTATCAGAGCAAGGCTCTGCACCAAATACGCCTCCTTCATCTCCCAAAGAGTCAATGATGTCTGGTGATACAAATTCTTCTCTCGTCACCAATCTAAAAGGCAATCTAACGATTGTAACCTTCCCTTCTACACTCAAACTCACATCCACAAATTACCTAGGGTGGAAAACAAAGGTAAAAGCTCTCCTCCAAGGTCTCGATCTCTATCGATTTATTGGTGGAACCCACCTTGCCCTAGAACCATCTACTGGCCCAGATGGATCGATTGTTCCCCACAAAGACTACAACAACTGGTTCCGCCAAGACCGACTATTGTTTGGTGCTCTAGTTGGAAGCCTATCACCACCGATCGTACCCCTTAGCACGAACGCAACCTCATCTTGAGAGGCATGGCAAACCCTAGCCGCAACTTATGCATCGCCTTCAAGAGGTCACATCAAACAATTGCAATACCGACTCAAACAACTCACACAAACATCTGATCAATCAATCACTGATTATATGCAGAACGTAAAGACTGTGGTTGATGAACTTGCAATCCTTGGAAAGAAATTGGACCCTGAAGACATCACTGATGCTGTTCTTAACGGGTTAGATCAAACAACCTACAAACCAATACTCGATGCATTTCATGCAAGAGATTCTCTTATTTCCTTCAATGAGTTGCACGAAAAGATGTATAACCAGGAACTAGCACTTGCACAACAGGCAACATCAGCAAGCTTTCACCAACCAACATCTGTTTTCTATGCCAGTCATCAATCAAACCGGAAATCTTGGCCACCCCGCCAAGACAATATTGGAGCTGGCTTGCTTCCTACCCCATCAAAACAAAACCCTCAAGCAGCTGGGCAACGCCCCTTTCTTGGAAAATGCCAATGGTGTCACAACAAGGGACATTCTCTCAGCAACTGTTTTACCTTTAAGAAATTATTTCCAAACACATATGTCCCTTCTCCTAACCGAAATTTACAGGTAAAAGGTGCTCAAGCTCATATGATGGCTCCACAGCAGGTCTCTTCATCAACAAACACCAACTGGCTCTTTGACAGTGGTGCAACTTTCCATGCCACAAACGATCTGAACAATCTGTCCATCCATGCTCCATACGATGGCACCGAAGAACTAGTCATTGGAGATGGTTCGTGTTTAAAAATCTCTCATATTGGCTCAACTGTAATTCAGACACCACACACACCACTAATTCTCAATTTTGTTCTCTATGTTCCATCTCTCTCTCGAAATATTATTTCAATCTCTCGCTTATGTCTTGACAACAAATTCCTAATAGAGTTTTATTCGTTTGTTTTTGTCATCAAGGACCTGGCATCCAAAACCCCCTTGTTCAAGGGCACGGCAGTCAAAGGAATGTATGAGCCGCGCTCATCCTTATCTCCTCAACTTTTCGCTATGCATCAAACTAATCCAACTACATGGCATCATCGATTAGGGCACCCACAAAATAAAGTCTTCAAACAGTTGTCTTCTGTTCTTTCTTTCAATTCCAGTTTACATAACAATTGTAATTCTTGTCAAATCAATAAAAGTCATCGTTTGCCTTTTCATGAATCGTCTATAACCTCCAATGCTCCTCTAGATATTATTTTCTCAGATGTTTGGTGTTCCCCTGTAGAATCGTATGATCACTACAAATACTACATAATTTTTGTTGATCATTTTTCCAAATATATTTGGATCTACCCAATGAAAAAGAAGTCTGAATCTCTCACTATCTTCACCCGTTTTCAATTACTTGTTGAAATTTTTTTTAACACCAAAATCAAACAACTCTTCTCAGATAATGGTGGAGAATATATTAAGCTTCGTTCTCACCTATCTTCCTCTGGTATTTCCCACCTCACATCCCCACCACATACCCCTCAACATAATGGGTACGCTGAAAGACGACACAGACATATAGTAGAAACTGGTCTGGATCTCTTATCTCATGCAAATATTCCTGTTACCTTCTGGCCATTTGCCTTTGCAACAGCTGCATACCTGATCAACCGACTTCCTACTTCCACTCTACACAACTTATCACCTTTCCGCTGCCTTTTCCAAAAGGAACCAAATTATTCAAAACTTAAAAGTTTTGGTTGTTTATGTTATCCATGGCTGAGACCCTATGCACCACACAAACTTCACCCCAAATCCACCCCAGGTATCTTCGCCGGCTACTCCCCAACTCAAAGTGCGTACTACACTTATGACCCATCATCCTCAAAATTATTCACTTCCAGACATGTCAGCTTTGTAGAAAATGAATTTTCTTTCAAAAAATTATCTGCTACAAACACACTCTCCCCCACAGTAAACTTACACGAATGGCTCCCTCTATCCCTTCCTATTATAGACACTACCACATCAAATACCAATAACCCACCCATACCCCCCACTTCTGCTCCTGCCATCACTCCTCTTTCCTCACCTGTATCTACTCCCACCTCACATCTCTCAACCCCCTCATCAGATAGCAATACCAGCTCAACTACCGAAAATATACCCACTCCATCACCTCCCACCAAAATGACAACACGTCCAAACCCGAAACCAACCACACGATATTTCAATTCCAACTTCGAATTATATACATCCACCACATCCAACTCAGCTGAACCTATAAATATTTCTCAATCCCTCAAAACCCTTCATGGATAAATGCCATGCAAGAATAATTCAACGCCTTAGAACGAAATCAAACATGGACACTTGTTCCCTCCTCACATGCGCAAAACCTTGTAGGTTGTAAATGGGTCTACCGAACCAAATACAAATCAGATGGCTCTATAGAACGACTAAAAACCCACCTTGTTGCCAAGGGTTTTCATCAAAGACCTGGAATTGACTACCGGGAAACCTTCAGTCCTGCTCTTAAACCTGCTACCCTTCGTTTAGTGCTTTCTCTAGCAACATCTCACAACTGGTCCCTTAGACAACTCGCTAAAAACAATGCTTTCCTACAAGGAAACCTTCATGAGAATGTCTACATGTCCCAACCCCCTGGATTTGTCAACCCCTCCCTTCCACACCATGTCTGCAAACTCAACAAGGCCATATATGGCCTACGCCAAGCCTCGCGGGCATGGTACGATGAACTCAAATCACATCTTCTTACCCTGGGTTTCAAACCAACTATCTCAGACTCGTCTCTTTTCATTCTCAACACAACATCCTCTTATATTCTAGTTCTTGTGTATGTAGATGACATCATAGTAACTGGTCCATCCCCGCTTCATCTCTCCAAATTTATTAGTCATCTCGCTAACAAGTTCTCCTTAAAGGATCTTGGTTCTCTTTCCTATTTCTTAGGCATCGAGGTCATCCCTCAATCTCACAGTTTACTTCTTTCTCAAAGGAAATATA